GGCCGGGTGGTTTTGCAGACTCTTTAGTTTTCTGCCCCATCCATCACTATGTTTGGGGGATGTTGACCCAGCTGATTGGGAGATGCAACTAGTTGTAATGTGTGCTGTGTGGCAGTTGGATCCCTTTTCGGATGTGGCGTCACTGACGTTTTGCTTGGTTTGGTGGTGACCATAGCTCTGGGCTTGGTGATGGTTGTGTGTGAAGTTTGAGTACCTGTAAATTCTAGACTCTATCAGGTAAAAATAGTGCACAAAAATCCGCGTAGGACGGCGAAGTCCTAGCGCAAAAATTTGCGTGACAGGTGGACGGAGCCTGGTGCTGCAAGGTTGGAGACCTTGTCCTGTTAGGCGACGGGGCCTGGATAATACCCGTGTTAAACAGACGGCGGAGTCCGGCGACGACAGGCGCTTAAATTCCGTAACAAAAGTATGTTTTTATCTTTTTTTTTTATCTTTTTTTTTTTCCAAAATCTCTCCCTTTTTTGCTGTTTGTTCAATGTCACATGCTGTTTTTATTTTGTTTTTTAATTATGTAAAGCACCTTGAAATGTCTTGCTGCTGGGGATTTTAAAGCTCGTCTTAAAACCCATCTATTTTACTTGGCTTTCAACTCTGGCGGGATCTAGTTTTAAATTGTATGTTTTTGTTTTTAAACTAAGTTTTTATTTTATATTTTTTTATTGTTATGTTGTGTTTTGATGTACAGCACTTTGCATCAGCTGTGGTTGTTTTAAAGTGCTTTATAAATAAAGTTGGTATGGTATGATATGAAATGTGCTATGCGAATAAAATTTAATTGATTGATTGATTGATGCCACCATACACCTGCTTCAATAAACCCACTGTCATCTGGACAAAACAGGCAACAAGTTATAAAAGATTATGTTTGTTTTCTCCACTGCATTTAACACAATTCAGCCTAATCTGCTCTGCAAGAAACTCCAGAAGACAGATGGAGACCTCAACAATCGCCTGGATCTATGACTACCTCACAAACAGACCACAGTTTGTGAGACTGAAGGACTGTGTGTCTAACCAGGTGGTCAGCAACACAGGAGATCCTCGGGGGACTGTACTCTCACCATTCCTTTTCACTCTGTACACTTCAAACTTCCAGCATAAGTCCGACTTCTGTGATCCATGATGGCTGTCTAATGTCAATGATGTAAAAGTTGGGTTAGGGCATCGTAAAAGTTGTAAAAGTGCATAATTTGGGCATTCTGAGTGCAGATGCTTTGAAAACTATTGGACAAATGACTATAAGGGCAAGGTATAAATAGGAGTAAATGGTTACAAAGATGCATTTTGTCCTGGCCAGTCAGCAAACTGAACGAGAAGTGATCAAGTTTATTTGTATTACACATTTCAACGATAAGGCAGTTCAAAGTGCTTTACATCATAAAAACATCACACAGACATCAAATATGAAACAAGCAGCAAACATTACATTTGATCAAATTCCATCATCAAAATCATTAAGCAAATACACATCAAATATGTTGAGCAATGTTCCAGTAATGGCTAATCAAAGGCAACTCTAACCATGCAGGATTTTGTAGAGGATTAAGTGACTTAAGTCTGGGAAAGAAAACCTAAAGATACTGGCAGAAAGTTTCTCAGGGTGAGTTGGGAAACTTTTTGTTTTTGAACACTAGTATCATACATTGCATGCTGCATTCACCAGATCTATGTTTGCAGCCATGCTGAATGTGATAAGACGGTGACGAGGCTGTGAACAGTGCTGCACCTCACACTGACTAACTGCATCATAACACCTAAAATAAAATTATGTTGGACTATCTACTATCCAGTAGAAAATGAACATTTCCTTCATCCAAAGAAAATGTTCATTTTGCCAAACCAACTCATATTCTGAATTTCAAATAGCCCTAAAATGTTACTAGTTCTCAGATTTGTAGTAAATAATTTTTTTTTAAATTTCCATATATTTTCTATAATTGTAAAGCTTATGATCCACATATTCACAATCTGTAAATAAGTAGACTTTATTGTGGGGCATTTGAAAGTAATTCAGTTTTTTAATTGATTGTGTAAAGAAAGGTAATTCTGATACTGATGTATTTTACATTGGTTTTGTTTGTTGTTAATCAGGAGTTATTTTCACTGTCAAATTTAATCTAATTAACTAAATATTGCAATTGATTTGCTAGATAGTAATACTGAAAGTTGGGTGCCTCTAATTCTCCAAGACATTTTTTCTTATGTAAAGTTTTTAGTGATATTCTAGGTTTTTTTATTTTTCCAATAGGATTGAGAAATGCAAGTGTCACTTGATTTAAACCAGTTTTCTGCAGGAGTAATTGGGAGAGATAGAGAATAGATAATTAAGTTGTGGAAGTACCTTCATCTTTATTGTGGATATACGGCAAATGAGTGAAAGTGGGAGGTTGGTCCAGCGCATTGGGTGACCTTCAATCTTTTTAAGAAGTGGGATATAGTTAAGAGCAAATAATTCTGACAGTCTGGGTAAATATTTATTCCTAGATATTTTATGTTCCCCAGAGTAAGAGATAATGTAGTATTTTGAGATGCAGAGTCCCATGCTCCATCAGTTAATGGAAAGATGGATTTTCCCCAGTTTAAATTTTAGAAATGTAACTAATTATATTAAAAGTTTCTTAAAAAGAATAATGTGCATCTTGTAAAAATAACAGGATATCATCAGCATATAGACTTATTTTATGTTCAATAGCTGAGTCACAGATTCCTTCAATTTTGTTATTTTTCCTTATTGCTACAGCAGTTCAATGAAAAGAGCAAACGGAGGGTGAGAGTGGGCATCCTTGTCTGGTTCCTCTATGTAGCAAAAAACTAGATGATGTAATTCCATTTGTGCTTATAGTAGCTCTTGGTGCAGTGTACAGTGTTTATATCCACCCAATGAACGACTCTCCAAATCCAAATTTTTCCAATACCTTGAGCAAGAATTTCCATTTGACTTTATCAAAATCTTTCTGTACATCCAAATAAACTATCACAGTTTTTGCTTGATTTTGGTGGGAGATATTAAGTTAAATAATCTGCGGGTACTATCAATTAGGTTTCTGTTTTTGATAAAGCCAGTTTGGATTTGGATGAATTAATGTTGGGATAATTTTTTCTACTCTTGCTGCAAGTGCTTTAGTGATCATTTTTAAATCTGTGTTACTTAAAGAAAGTGGATGGCAGCTTGAAGGGTACATTGGTTCCTTATTGGGTTTCAAGTAGGGATGCTCCGATCAGGCTTTCTGCTGCCATTTTCGATACCGATCACCAATGAGGCCGATCATTGCCAATCACCTGTTAATTGTTAATTTTTTGCTTTAGTTATAAATGCTACTATGTGATCTGACAAAATTAAAAAATGATCTGTCAATAAATTCACCTAATTTGGGCATAAAACATGCAAAATACTTGCAGGCACAGCACAGCAGCTTTTCAGTCAAAAGGACAACTGAAAAACCTGCAATCAGTAAAATAATATTTAACAGTAAGACCCTCAGTTCCATAAATTATACATGAGTCAAATAAATCTGCCTATATTATCTGGAGTATATAACTGAATATAAAAAGATGTAAAAATATTATTAATTTCTTGAGGGTCTTGCTGAATTTAAAATGGCTGATATGGTGGATTTTTCTTTTTTATGCTTAAGCTGATTCGCTAAGTATTGACCAACCTTATTACTATATTGGAAGTTGTTATATTTTAGTTGTTGAATAACACACTTTTTTATGGATAATTTTTCCCCATTGATGTTTTAAATTAGTTAGTTCCTCCTTAATTTGATCATCTGGATTTGTATTGTGAGAGTTTGTAAAATACGTTATTTGTTTTTCTAAATTTCTATTTGTTGTTGTTTTTTCTTGTGTGATGAATATGCTATCAGCTGTATACATGTTTTATTCAGCAGCTTTAGAATTAGTTAAAATCAGATGACAAAGCCTTAAAATTCCCAAGATAAAATGCAGCTACAATTCAACCACTTCAACCAAATTGCATGTTGAAATTACTGCGCTCAGGTCCAAAAACCTCTGCTGTTAAATCAGATGTAGACTACAGGTATGTAGACTGCAGTCTAACTACATATTTACTTTCTTTATTCACTGTTTCCAGTGTCATCCGCATCAGTAGGAAGGGCTGGCACACCCTCCTCAATTTCCTCTTTCACACAGGCCTGACATTTGGGGTGTTTGCGGGAGGCATCAATCAGATCCACTTTCCTTTGGTTTGTCAGATTGTAAGTTTGCCATCTTCTGCTCTTTTGTGTAGCTAATATTTTACAATTATATATTTTTGTGGAGCGCAGTAATTATGACCCTTTCTGTATATGGCTTAGCAGCTTGGACCCATCATTTGTAAATACATTTGAACAAGAAAAAGTCAAATTTTTAACCGTCAACTAAGTTTTAAGAAAAGCAATGTTTTCAAACCTAATACTAATCGTAGATTGTTAGTATTAGATGTATAGTACAGAACCCTCCTTGATTCCTTTAAGTTGATCAGAGTGTCAAGGGAATTAGAAATCCATGATGATCCGGGCTCCTTTTCCTTTACCATTTTTCACTTTGAAGAAGTGAAGGGAATTTATGTGGTAAAAGTGACATGTCAGAAAATTACGAAAAGAAAATATCTACTTACCTAACCTTGTTTGTATCTACAGTCTGGGCAATCCTTAAAATGACTTTAATCAACTGAAAATGTGACAAACAAGGCTGGACTAGAGTTCTAAGTTTCATTTCCAGAAAAGCATTGTCACTTCTCAATGTTTCCTGTGAATGAGATTATTACTATAATATGTAATTTTTAACTGTATTTCCTTCTTTGGTGTGATAGGTCGGCATTGTACTCCATTATGCTTCATTGTCCACCATGATGTGGCTGGCATTTACTGCAAGAAATATTTGTAAAGATGTGTGCAAAGAGCCACTTCAAGCCCAGGACAGGAGTGGTCCAGTCCAGAAACGTTCCAAGCCAACCATCCTGAGGTAGAGTTTTATTTTCAAATAAAAAACTGACAACTCTTGAGAGGGTTTCAAAGGATGGGGACTATTGTCTTAAAGCCTCTGAATCTTTCACCAGATTCATATTCAACCTTTGTGTTTCTATACACTTAATCACAAACTAGCTAATCTCACTGCTGTATGAAAATGTGAGAGGATCTCAAGGTAGATAAGAAAAGCCTCTTTTTGTGGTGAATCAACATGTTTCTTTATAGGATCACAGTCATTCATTTTTGTCAAGTTAGTCCAACTTTCAGTTTGGTGTAATTTAAAAAATTAAATTAAACATAAATTTCTCAGCACTTTAACTTGTCAAGAAAAACCGAGATCATCCCACTTCCCCATGCTGGAGATTTTAGTTTAACAGTAACAATCCATAAAGTTACCTTTAAAGTTAAGCACACAATAATCACACAAGTAATGTCAAGACCCAACAGTAGACTTAAACTTCAATAAAATCAATCTGGTTGTGTGTGTTGTTTTTGTCTCCTGGAAACTTTGCTTTAATTCTACTTCTTTTTTCTATCTAATCATAAGAAATAATAGTTAGGCAGAAAGAGTGTCATGAAACAGGAACAGTCGGCTTCCTGGAAGAAGAGGAAGTAAGTTTCCAGCTTGCAGATTCATAGAAATAGTTTAAACTATTCCTATTTCAAAGCATAAAAGTTTTAAAGAATGAAGTCTAAACATTTTATTGAATAAGACCCGAAGTAAAATACTTAAGTTAATATTGGTTTACTTATAAGAATATGTAAGTGTAAGTGAAAATGTACATTTGTGGAAATACAAGTAAAACAAGTAACTGTAGCTTTGGTGTCAAATAATTAGAATAATGGATTATTCTTGGTTCCTTTTCAGAAAACGTCTATAATAACTCACATTAAGATTATAATAAGAATAACTAATAAGTTATGGTTATAATATTATAAATGAATGCTAAATCAGAGAAACTAAAAGGTTATACATGTGATTTGACATTGAACTGGAAATGGTGTAAAATGTGTAACTGTAATTAAAGATCACTGATGTTGTGTTGGAGGTCGATGGTAGGAGAAAGGTTAGGGGGAAAGAGTAACTAACAAGAGAGCAGAGAGGACCAAGGCCTTATGTGGTAACAAATTGAACAACTTAAACTTTCCAAAGAAAAGATTGGGCAGGCAACAGACGTAGGAGGACTGTTGAGCAACTCGGAGTCAATGGAACAGACATCATGTCTCCAAGACAGTGATGGATATGAGATCATCTGTCCAAGCAGTCAGCCAATGAGACAGGCACAGCAACAAAGCTAGCCAATGCAAACGCACCAAGAGGGTGGATAAACCCTTTATAAGATGGGTGCAAAAGAGGAATCTTTGGTTGGATCCTTCAGGCAGCTTTGAGCCAAGATCGAGATGGACAAAGAACTCCACAGCTGAAGAAGAGCTGGGGCCACAGAGCCGAAGACTGTTCTGCGCATGGGGACCAACCCATCCGCCCTGCAACATATGGCTTCAAATTGCACTTCTCTCATCAGCTGGGTCCGGACCCCAAAGACAAAGACCAAGGCAAAGATGAAGTTAAAGACAAAGGCAAAGAACAAAGGCAAAGAGGGAAGAAATGGTGCGTTCCTTCCCTGAGACCAGCTCGTCTACATCTCGATGGACCAGAAAGATCGTGAGACGAGGAGAAAGGAGCTACAGAGCCGCAAGACAAGAAGCTGAAGACCGCTACGCACAAGAGGAAGTCACCCTAAGACCCGAGACCTGCTGCTCTAAGTCAGTACTCTTCCTGCCAGCACCCAAGACCTGTGTGACCTCACCATCGAAGCAGAGACGAAAGCTCATCAGAGATGTTGTGGACATTCAATTAATGAGTTACCTCAAAGTTCTTTGATGGTTGTAAAATAGCTATGATGTTTGATTCTGGAGAGGAAAAGGTGGAAAATGTTTGATAGGTTGCTTTTAGCCCAAAACTATATGTAAAACAACACCCTTGGGACTCGCCCGAGTCTCTAATACCAACCTGGTTCAGTAACAAGTGCAAGTTGTAATAAAAGAGTGTGACCATTAACAGGTGTGCTCTGTGGAACTAGTTGGGTGTAGGCTGCTCACTCTGGCACAGGGGGAAGGCGGGTGTTACATCTGGACGAGGGTCATCAGAAACCAGGCGAGTCTTTCTCTGCACCAGCTTAAACAGAGTTTACTTCAGTTCTGGACAGGGTAAATCCCAATGGATTCAGGAAACTCAATTTACTTGTTAGATGGAGAGCTGCTCCTCTCAGAAGTTATGGTTAGGGTTAGGGTTCTCTACTTCAGAAGGGGAAGCAGAGCAAGAAGGGGTGGTGGGGGCGTTGCGCTACAATAAACTGTTTTTTTTTTGTTGTTTGTTTTTTCAGTTCTACGACTGACAAAGGACCTCTAATACAGCACTAGTTTCAATTGTATCTAAAACAGGAGTAAATAAATTTCACAATATTGTTAAGCCAGTGGTATCATTAATGTGAATCAGGAGGAACAATCATTATTGTTTCCTAAGTGTTTCCTTAGTAGCTTCCTAAGCATTTTCATCCGGTAGGTGGCAAAAAGACCAGATCTGTATGCTGACTGCCCTGCATCAACACATTTATTTTATAACTTTTTCACTTTTTTTTGTCAGATTTTATCTTGTGAGCGATGGAGTACCTCTGATAGTTGTAGTCATTACGGCTGTCTTTGGCATGGATAACTATGGCAGCAGAGATGGAGCATTATAGTAAGTATAGATTCAATGTATTAATTTCATTCATTCATTTATAAGTTTATCTTTGCAAGGTTAACAAATAGTTTTAAGTCCCTGTTTATCATTTTCAGCTGCTGGATGGCATGGGAACCTAGTCTGGGAGGCTTTTATGCACCAGTAGGTCTTCTGGTCATAGTCATGTCTTTGCACTTGTTGATTACCTACATCCAGCTGAAGCGCCACCCAGAGAGAAAGTATGAATTACGCCTTCTAAGAGAGGATCAGCAGATGTTGTCGTCCAGTGAGTCAAACCATCATTGTCAAAGTGGCAGTGGTGGAGCTTCAGTGTCTGCTGGAGACTGTCTGCCATTTTCTACTGGTGCATCTATACTGGCTAATGAACACTCTTTTAAATCCCAACTACGCGCCACCATCTTCACACTCTTTCTGTTCCTGGCAACCTGGACTTTAGGAGCATTGGCTGTATCACAGGGACATTTCCTGGATATGATTTTCAGCTGCCTCTATGGGGCTTTTTGTGTCACTCTGGGCCTCTTCCTTCTCATCCAGCATTGTGCCAAACGGGATGATGTGTGGAATCGTTGGTGGGTTTGTTGCCCATCTAAATCAAAGATAGAAAATGTAAATACTGATGGACAGAATCAGACACAACAACTCCATCAACCACACTGCCACTTGAGTTCTCCGTGTTTAGGCAAGCAGCCACTGCTTTCATCCCTCTTACAGGGTTCTTCAGACAAAATGACACCACCTCCTCAAAGCCCAACTCCAAGTAACACAGGTCCATGTTGTGTGGCTGTAATGAGTCCACCATCCCCTATCCCATCTCTCATTGAGCCAAAGTTCTCACCACGTCCTCATTCACTTCCAGATGAGCTCCCTCGGCCAACTCTTCCCCTACAGAGATGCCTTACTGAGAGAGCAAAGTCACGCTCCTTTAACCGCCCACGACCATGCCTCCAAGACTACCGCTCACATATGGCTTCACTGAGTATGGACGGAAGTGTCCACAGCTCCCACAGGGACAGCTCTCAGCCTGCACAGCATCTAGAAGGAACACCGTTAATTTCCAACAGCCCACTTCCAGATCATCAGCTTCTTTGTCCTAGTCCCCACTTGGATAAGCAGATGGCTTCCTGCCACACCTTTCAACGCCAAACCTCCTGCCAGAGTATACAAGACCCAGTGACTTCCTGTCATGGCCATGTTCACAACATGCATGACAGCATAACGTCCTATCACAGTCTCCTCCTGCCTTCTCAAGGGGTCCATTCTTGTCAGTGGCACATGTGTGGTTCAGCTACTCCCTCTGCTAATGCAGCCTGCTGTGAGAAACTAGATTCATTTACAGTGCAATTTGAGCAAGACCCCAAAACATACAGCTGCACATTAAAGTCAGAAGATGAAGACACAGATATCCATTCTTTGGACATAGAGCAGAGAGGCTTTCCAAGAAATACTCTGCCTCGACAGCATTCCAAAGTTAGCCGCCGAGGAGTCATTGGTCGAAACAGAAGTTTGCAAGAAGATGGCCTGTTTGGCTCAGATGCTACAGGAAATATTCGGACTGGCCCTTGGAAGAATGAAACCACAGTTTAGATGTGATGTTAGTTTAGCCTTCCAATAACTGTCTTTATAGATGATTTGTATGTGTTTTGGTCTTTATGCTGTACCCTAAAATAACCTCAACGAGTCCTCACATAATTTAGGACTAAATTAAGTTGTGAAATAAATATTTTTTAGTTATATTTGATTATCAACTTAGTTTAACTACAGGTGAATCCACATTATGCTTTAAATCTGCAAGCTATATTGCATGAATGCTCAGGGGCACAGTGGTTCTTTAATTAGAAATGTAAGTGAAAAGAAAGGGGTCAAGAGTTTAAACCACATTAATTCCACTTAGATGTTTCATGTTAGTTTCTGTAAATTGTTTTATATTAATCTAAAATGTTTGTATCTAGACAAATTTAAATACCAGCACTCACTGATTTTAAACGTTGCATAGGAACACAGACTAGGTACAAAATATGACTAGAGCCAACCGCCCTTGATTTTTTTTTTTTTTTTTGAAAAGACATGTTAAGGGACTTGGCCTCTTGACTTCATATGCATGAAAAAGCTTCCAATAACTCTTTTTAGATACAATTGTCTCAAAGACAGATAATCAAACCCCTCCCAACCAGAATAGCAGGTGCTGTATAGGTGCACTAAACTGCTCAGTGTCTATATTTTCCCTGGGCATGGGTGCTAATGCAAAAGAATTTTAAAAATGTTACTTCTTCCTGCCTTTGGCTCTGTATACATGACAATATATTATATAAAATTGTCTCTTTTTAGCTTTGTATCATGTTATTCCTGTCATGGACTGGTGACCTGTCCAGGGTGACCCCACCTCTCACCTGTTGACCGTGGGAGATGGGCACCAACACCCCTGGCGACCCCACTAGGAATAAGCGTGTTGGATAATGGATGGATGGATATCTTGTTATTATATTATTCCCTTATCAAAAACAAACCTGGAGTGCTGCTTTGATTCTTTCATGTATATTTGAAACATATTTGAATCTCCTGTGGCAGCCATTCTGTGGTGTCTAAATGCTTGGTCTAGCCAAATACCACCTTTTTCCATGAAGCTCCTCCTTGGAACGGCAGTCTCCAGCTGAGCTTCCACCTCATTGAGCACCTCTCCTCCTAGCCTCCCCCATTCAGCTCCTCCAGACTAGCGGCAGCAACAATTAGTAAACACCAGGTGGAACTGTGAGTCTGCTGAGCTTATTATATAAACTACATCTCAGTCCTACACTCCTAAGAATGTTTGTTAATGGCATAATGTAGAACCATTGTTGTGATGACGGCGGGGTATCAGAAAGAGCAGGAGTCTCTCAATGAGACAGAGGCCCAATTTCAAGAAGCTAAGTTATGAATTCAAATTTCAAGTCATGTTGCATACATACAGCACTTTTATAACAACTGAAAGTAACAGTTACTTGATTGTGGGGGTGGCCATTCATCGAATCATTTATTGTAATTTTTTTTTGCCATTTTAAGAATTTTGATTTATCGTCACCATAAATTTCAGTAAACGTTAAAAAAATTGACTAAATGTTATTTTTTAAAATTTTTCTCGTGTCTTTCCACAATATCAATAACTATCAATAAATTTAAAAATGATTATACTAAGTCTCTAAATGCAGTTCAGTGATACAAATCACACTTCTTTAAGAAATGTATTTCAAACAGAAATGTTTTTCAAGAGTAGCATTTATGTTTGCGGTGTTATGAATGTTGTGCCATGCAATCACCTAAAACAGAAGTGATGAATAGTTTTTATTATTTTTATCGTTATCATAGTACTACAAAATATTGTCATAAAATTCTTAGTACATGTCGCCCACCCCTACTTGATTGTACTATAAAGGTGCTTCAGTTCCACATTCATCTGTTCAAACAATTATACAAGTGTATAGACATGTTGGGAATGTGCAACCATCACATTGTACAGGAAGATAATGGGTTCTGTGTCCCAGAGATAAATATATAAATGTGCAGATAGACCCCAGAATAAAAGCTAAAGATGCTGCTGTCATTATCCCCAGTGAAACATGCCCTGTTCTGACTGGCCACTCAGCAAAGAATAAGTTAGTATTAATAATATATTTCATAATATATAATATATAACAATATATTTCTAATATATTTCTTTACTTCAAAAGAAATATAAAAAGTCAGATTTGTTTGCAGATGCACACAAAGACAACAATCTTCATTTCTGGACACATGTCCTAAGGCCTGGTGAAACTAAAGTGAACCTGTTTGGCCATAATGCCCGTTGTTACACTTGGAGGAAGAAGAGGGATGCCTGTATCATTTTATCTTTGAAGTGTGGGGGTGGCAGCATCATGGTTTTGGGCTATTGTGCTGTGGAAGGAACTGGTGCTCTTCATGAAAAGATGCAATCATGAAGAGGGAACATTATGTGGAAATACTGAGGCAACATCTAAAGAAATCAGCCAGGAAGTAAAAGCATGGGCACAGATTTGTCTTCTAAATGGGCAATAACCAAAAGCTACAACCAAAGAAGTTATAGAATGGTTTAAGGACAACAAAGTCAGAGTTTTGGTGTGGCCGTCAAAAAGTACTGAGGGCTACTTCACAAAACTGTCCAATACATTTTGTCTCTGTCTGATAATGAGTTGCATTTTATAAGCTCCGTTACAATTTATCTTCTGTCTTTTGATTCCCGTTAAGCTTCCACATACTGCAAAATATTCTTATATTTAATCTTGATCAGTTGGGATCAGTTGATATGAAGTGGAACAAAAAAAGTAACATGAATGAATCCGCTCTCAGATTGACTTCCACTGTTCATTGATTTGATTAAAGTTTTTTATTTGAGCATATGACAGGTATGATTATGATGGTTTTTAGTTAAAAATGGCTTGGAAATGTATATTTTAGGCTAATTAGGCATTCAATGGATCCGCTATTGTTTGCTATTTTAGCAGTGGTTTATTTTCCTTTTGTGTGATGTGCTTCAATTCCTCATAATCCTCAATCAAAAGATCTTTGTTTGATCTTTGTTTGGTGTGATGCATGGCATATGCAATTTATCTGGCAACCATAGCATCAGTGAATCTGTGATTGATCTCATGGTCTGCTGAAGAAATCTGTGGAGACCTGAATTACTCAAGTCTGGGCCAACATAGCTGCACCTCCTGTGCCTGGTTTGGTCTTTGTGAAACAGATAAAGCCAGGATGAACTGATGGTGCTATGTCAAGCATAGCTCTATATTTTATCCTGGATTTGGTAATCCTACTTTTGTGAAACAGCCCTCCGGTCTCAGACCCACAAGGTGTGAGTAGATCTGAAAAGGTGAGTTTGAGTGAGGCGGTCTACAATATGTATTCAGTTCCACCAGTGGGAATGGTTTCAACTGGAATATGACACTATGCAGGAAAGTACATAATATTGCCCCTTTAAAAAATGTGAGGGCCTAACTTAAAATGATAAATTAATTAGTATTTTAAATCTTTAAAAAAATAGATAAATAAATAGCTTTCAATACGCACAATATTAAACCCATAATATTGCTAATTAAAAATTTTGACAGCTTTTGAGCATGCCCTTTCAGATTCTGAAGAGATTTGAAAGAACCGACTGATCTTGATTTTCAGGATCCAGCATCTCTAAAGTTTACACCTTTAAATTCTGACATTTAAACATTTCAAGTCTGTATCTGTTAATTTTGGATTTCATCTGACTTTAACACAGTTATTTAAAAAATTAATGATGACTCACATACAACACATTGAAATATATGATAGACTATGTGTGAGTTTTATGTGTACAACGGTGCATGAATTATTAGACACAGATGTGGTGTGTTTGTGTAACATGTGCTTATTACTCTGGATACATCCTAACACAGGGGTGGGCAACTCCAGGCCTGGAGGGCCGATGTCCTGCAACTTTTAGATGCGTCTCAACTTCAACACACCAGAGTCAAATCATGATGTCGTTAGTAGGACTCTGGAGAACCTGACTGCACTGAGGAGGTGATTCAGCTGTTGGATTCAAGTCTGTTGAACCAGGGAGACGTCTAAGAGATGCAGGAAACCGGCCCTCGAGGACCAGGATTGCCCACCCCTACCTAACAGCTGTTTTTAAATTTATTGATAAAGTTGTATTTATTAAGTTTATACATATTTTTTCCTCAGTGATACTTTATGCTACCAAGTTCAGTCAAACTGACTTTTGAGTTTGACAATTATTGCACTAGTATGCACTATATCACGCCTCACCTGGTCAGATATTTAAAAAGTGCAATGTGCTATAAGCACAATGTTTTTATAGTGCCAAAATGATGTGCCAGTTTTCACTGTGATGACAAACTACACAAAACACATTCTCATTGAGAAACTGCAGTTTGTAGCATAATGCAAACTTTTACTCAGGTTTTAGAATATCATCAGCAACACCTGAAAGAGCTCTTCAAAATGCATGTTTTCTATGCATAATTAAGTTAAGCGTGTTTCTGTGAATCTGTCATTTAACGAGCACTGTTCTCATGGATTTAAATTTGTGTGGTATTACAGTAGCTCCCTCAGGTCAACACACATGTGACGAGTGCCGGAAATATTTGATAAAATGTTTTTTATTGAGACTTACAAGAAAAGAAATCTAGTGACTGTATGAAGTTGGCATTATTT